CTCTCTCTCTCTCTCTCTCACACACACACACACACACGTTTATTGCTTCATATCTTTTCATCCTCATCATCACCCTTTGACCTTTTTATGGTTCATGTAAACTCCATTGGCAATCCCTTTCCACACTGTTCGGTCTTGTATTGCTGTCCCCAGATTCCCAATGTGCACCCTGAATCCCGAACTATGGTGTCTGGGAAAGTAAATTTTCGTGAGAAGACACTTCCAGAAGGATTCCATAGGAGTAAAGATGAAACGATTTCCCTGTTCGCTCGGTGGCAATGGCCGGCAAACTCTAATCGTTTTTGTTTGACCTTAAGAGAGATTTGGTCTCAGTTCTTAAATTGTTTTAAGCGTGGCATAGGATCTCCAACAGATGGTGTGGATTTTTCTAAGTAGATTTGTATATATTCCATCCATTCGTCTTTCAAAATAAACAATGTCCAAGTTTTTGATCCATTGGTTAGAACTAGTTCAATCAATATTCGAAAGGTTTGAACTTTTAAGGAGGATGGAAGGTTCGAGCGCCAAATTTGGTGAAGTTTGTTACACGCATCCCAAGAAAGGGCTTTATATATAAAGAAATATATATATATATATATAACGGAACTTTATGCCTTCTACTAGAGATAAAATATATTGTTAGCCATTTAGCTATAAACTGTATTGTTGGCAATTTTGCTATAAAGAGGTATTTCCACATATTTTACATACACAAATATATTGCTGATATGTTCAGTATAAAAACTTATTTTTTATATTTTCACAAGGTTTTGTTTTGGTTTGGTTTGGTTTGGTTTGGTCTGGTCTGGTTTGGTTTACGGCATATTAACCTCAATACGTTATTTAACGCCGACAATTTTTTTATTGCTGGTCATATTTTTCCTTCAAAAATGGATAGTCGGTAATATATATATATATATATATTCTTTTTTTCAAAATACATTTCTGGTAATATTTTTTTTTTTAAATGTATCGCCGGTAATATTTTTTTACAAATTATTTCTGGTATTAAAACCTATGTTTACACTTTCATAGTGTTTTGACACTAGTTTGGATATTAACTATTTGCCCATAGCTTGAACCCTATCAGGTGTTACAAACTCAGGTCAGGGTGGACCTGGAAACACCAGCAATTAAGAGGTGGTTCCAGGCACCTCAAAACCTCCTGATGAGAGGCCTTGCTGTTGGACGTAGTTTATCGTCTTACCCAGGACGCGGATGTTGTTTATCGTCATATCCAGTACGGTGTTTCTGTTTGAGGGTTTGCTCATAGTTGGGACACTGACAGGTGCTACCATCCCGGCTCAGGTTGGAAACACCAAAAATTATTAGGTGGTTCCATCGCAAATGAGAAAAATTGTATGACAAAATGACTAAGACCCGTAAAAGCACCTTGTCAGTGATATTCAAATGAAATTTCTAGGTTATATAATGAAAAAGAGATTTGATGCTTACCAAATTGAAATATAACCTACTTACATAACACTAGAGTTTAAGAGAGATAACAAAAAGACAAAATTTATTTAGAGCTACAAAGGACAAGAAACTGTGAGCCATAACCGCCAACATCCCTAATAAGAAGATGATGACTTTAACCGCGTCTGAAGTACAAGGTAAATTTCTTATGGCAGGTATTTTTATCGATATATATATATATATATATATATATATATATATATATATATATGCAATTTCATTAGAAACGACAGACAATGTTCTTTCATTTTAGCTTTTAGACAATTTCTCATTGATCTCATGTTTTTTTTTTTTAATAATAAATTATATAAAACTGTCCGAATGTTTTTTTTTATCCGAAGGTTTCAGCTATACATTTAACCATTTTCAAGTTTAAATATTTTTTTTTTGTCATATGTATATTTTTAGAAAAGACTTTTTCAAAAATTAAAATATTATTCCATGTTCAAATTAATATATTAAGCATTAGTTTGTTTTGTTTTTATTAATAAGGCTTCGAATTTTTAGCCTTTTTTGCATGCAGATGATGCTATTATAATTGTGTTGTCAACAAGATGTTACGAATAGTGTCCGGTATGTTCCATGAATATCTAAATTTGATCTATGGTCAGAGATGAGGAGTTAGTCTGCGTGTCAAATATGTTGTATTACAATTTATTTTGGTTCAATTCTTTAATGGGCATTTAAATTCGTAAATAATATATTAATAATATATTATCTTAAGTAATAAATAGGGCAAATATTATTGTTATATAATTTATCATCTGAAAAGAAAAAATTATTAGATGAAGAAGAACGTCTGTCGTATTCAATGAAATGTATGAAAAAAAGATTGCCCTAAATACACACACACACTGTTTAATAAGCATAGGCTGTTCGGTGACGTATTGATTGATTTATTCCCAGTCAAATGACCCTCGAAGGTCTTCAAAGTTAAGTATTTTTTTTTTTAGAGAAGACGATAAAGTTTATATGAGTTTTTTTTCTCAAATAAATATATCAGCATTAGATGGTCGGTCAATGAATGCAGAATGTTTCCTTATAAAGAAACACTTTGATCCCAGCCCATCCTGAGGCCCAGGAAGTGAAGAAGAACGTCACTCAAGTAGCACTGGCTGATCGGTTAATGAATGCCGAATGTTTCCTTATAAGGAAACGGCTAATATTACCATTATCATTAGAGATGAAGAGAACAGATACTACACTTTGATCCCATACCGAGGGTCAGGAAATGAAGAAGAACGTTACTCGAGTAGCACTGGCTGTTCGGTTAATGATAGCCGAATACTTCCTTATAAGGAAAAGGCTAATATTAACGTTACCATTACTATTAGTATATTGATCTTTCTTTTTTCAGTGGGTAGCCAATTCATTTTTTCTTTGTTTTTTTTTTCTTTCTCGTTACTTCCTTCTCCTTTTCTCGTAATTCATTTTCTCTTCCTCTCTCTTTTTTACACTTATTCATTCTTTCTCTCTTTCTCGGTGTCACCTTCAGTCGCTGGTTTCTTTTTGCAAATTAAAGAAAAGCGATTTGCCTCACATCGCTAAATGTCATGTTCCAGTTGCGTAATCCATGCAAAATTCAAAAACAGATGTTTTCTTACAAATTATAATTGTCAAAAAAATGTTAATAATGGCTGCCATTTGTTGTTAATTGATCCTTGCTGTAGACGCCAGATCAGGCATATTATTTCTATCTTTTTCTTTTCTGTTTTTTTTTTTCTTCTCACATTTCTTTTCCTTACATTCTGCCTTCTTTTATGAATATTTCTCTTCTTTTGCGTCTTTTTTCGCTCATAAGAATATGTTCTTTGATTCTAGAATGAGACATACATTGAGTTGGCTGGTTGATTTTGTTTAGCGGCATATCAACACCTGTATGGGTTTCGTTTTTAATGCCGAACTAATTCGTTTCTTTCTTCCTTTTTCTTTTTCTTTTTTGTTGTTGCTCTTCCTTCTCTTGGATATTGGCTTTTCATTCTTTCTTTCTTTCTTTTGTTTGCTTAGTCTTGTTCCTTTCTTTCTTTCTTTCTTTCTTTCTTTCTTTCTTTCTTTCTTGTTCCTCTTCCTTCTCTTGGACATTGGCTTTTATTTCTTTATTTCGTTCTTTCTTTCTTTCTTTCTTTCTTTCTTTCTTTTGTTTGCTTAGACTTGTTCGTTTCCCTCTTTCTTGACCACTTCTTTCTGTTAGACAATGACTTTTCTCTCTTTTCTTTCTTTTTCTTTCTTTCTTTCGTTCTTTCTTTCTTTCTTTTGTTTGCTTAGACTTGTTCGTTTCCTTCTTTCTTTACCACTTCCTTCTGTTAGACAATGACTTTTCTTTCTTTCTTTCTTTCTTCCGTTCTTTCTTTTTTTCTTTTTTTTGTTTGCTTAGACTTGTTCGTTTCCTTCTTTCTTTTACCACTTCCTTCTGTTAGACAACGACTTTTCTTTTCTTTCTTTTCTTTTTCTTTCTTTCTTTTTCTTTCTTTTTTTTCTTTTCTTTCTTTTGTTTTTTAGACTTGTCCCCGTTTTACTGTTCCTTCTTTTAAACAATGACTTTTCTTTCTTTCTTTCTCTCTTTCTTTCTTTCTTTCTTTCTTTCTTTCTGCTGTTAGATCTGTTGCTCTATTTCTATTCCTAATCATTTTTCTTTCTTTCGTTCCTCCTTCCTTTCTTTTGTTTGTTTAGACTTGTTCGTTTCTTTCTGTACTATTGTAGCAAGTACCTGCCCCCCAACTCTGCTATTCTCCTCCCTGTCTGCTGGGGCTTCTGTATACGCCGATGCAATTCTGCAAAGGGATAAGACTTCCCCCTCACCCCAAACAGTAAATGAAGTGTTCTGGGTAAGACGATAAACTACATCCGGCATCAAGGCTCCTGATCAGGAGATTTTGAGGAGCATGGATGTACTTTTTAATTGCTGCTGTTCCCAGGTCCACCCTGACCCGGGATGGTAGGACTTGTCGAGATCCTATCTATGGGTAAATAGTTAACACCCAAAAAGGGGTCAAATACTATGAAAATTTAAAAATAGGTTTTATACCAGTAATACAAGTTTGTAAAAGATTATTACCTAAATTTTTGAAGAAAATATTATTACCAGCAATACATTTTTGAAAAAAAAAAACTATTACCAGCGATAAAAATCTTGTCAGCATTAAATAACCCACAGAGGTTGATATACCGTAAAACAAAACAAAACAAACCCTCTGCTATTGTCTACGTTTACAAGAGCCAGATCAGGCTTACAATGGAGTACTGTGACCATATTTAGGTAGGACCTGTCCAGTCCTCACTTTCCAATCTCGATAGAGAATCATTGAGAGTGACCCTACAAGCCCTGTCTCAAAGGAGGGACGTCGCAAGCCTCTGACCACTCTATCGCTATTACCACGGAAGGGGCTCAGTCGAACTAAATTCCTGCCGTTATAACTCCCACGAGTAAGACAAATGATGCTACGCATCTTGTAGCGAACCACCTTCATTCGCCTCATATGCTGTTTTTTTTTTTAGATGCAAGTTTCATTCGAGCGGCTTCTTCCCGGGCACCCTCTGCACTGTGGAACCGACACCAAACAACCTTAATTTCAACTATGGGATGAAACCGTTATCTTCTTGACATGTCCGCATAAAATGAGCCTCTTAATCTGCAACCTGTTACCTTGAGTGGCTCTTGGTCCGTGAAGACGATGCGTTTAAAAATAAAAGGTTAAAAATGGTTGCCATGAAATTGTATTGCCCCAGTTCTTCGATGGTTTCCTGGAAGGAATCTCTTGTTACGTGCCGAACAAAATTCTTACGAGAAGAGATCAATTTGGGTCATTCTCTTTGCCAGACAATGGCTTTGGCATCAAAATCCGATTAGATGCCATCGATCAGTTGCTAAACTCATCGATAACAAATGAATAAGCATTGCTTCTATTTATTGATTAAGGTCTAAGGAAAGAGAAATAGGCATATGGACAGTTTTTTCCTTCATTTTTTTTTGTTTGTTTTTCTTTGATTTTTGAATGAAATGGAAGTGGGGGGGGGTTTCAGATCGTTTTCCATAACAGGAAACGGAAGATAAAAACCAGATTCATCTGAGAAAAAATAGATATGAATCTGAAAGCAAAAAAAAAGCAAATACTTTTCTTTCTTTTTTGTTCCTTCTCTATTTCTTTCTTTCTTTCTTTCTTTCTTTTGTTAGATCTATTGCTTTCTTTCTATTCCTAATCATTCTTTCTTTCTTTCTTTTGTTTGCTTAGTCCTGTTCCTTTCTTTCTATCGCTCTTTCTTTCGTTCTTTCTTTCTTTCTTTCTTTCTTTCTTTCTTTCTTTCTTTCTTTCTTTCTTTCTTTCTTTCGGCCTTTCTTTCTTTCTTTCGGCCTTTCTTTCTTTCTTTCGTTTTTTTGCAGACTTTCTTCATAAATTTTCCTCTTTCGTTCTTTCTTAGTTTATTTCCAGTGTCTCTTCGATCTTTCTTTTTTTCCTTCTTTCTTTCTTTCTATTTATATATTTCTTCTTTCTTTCTTTCTTTCTTTCTTTCTTTCTTTCTTTCTTTCTTTCTTTTACTCCTTTTCCTTTCTTATTTGTTCTTTCTTTTCTTTCATTTTTGCCCCTTTTCCTTCCGTTCTTTCTGTCTTTCTTTCTTTCTTCTTTCTTTCTTTCTTTCTTTTGAGATTGTCTTTTTTCAACTGACCAACTTTCTTCCTTTCTCTTTCTTTCTTTCTTTCTTTCTTTCTTTTTTTTTTTCTTTCTTTCTTTCTTTCTTTCTTTTTTTCTTTCTTTCTTTCTTTCTTTCTGTCTTTCTTTCTGTCTTTCTTTCTTTGTTTCTTTTTTGTTCCTTCTCTACATCTTCTTTCTTTCTTTCTTTTTTTCCAGACTTTATTCATTATTTTTTCTATCTTTCGTTCTTTCTTAGTTTATTTCCAGTGTATCTTTGATCTTTCATTTTTCCTTCTTTCTTTCTTTCTTTCTTTCTTTCTTTCTTTCTTTCTATTTATATATTTCTTCTTCTTTTTTTTTTTCTTTCTTTTACTTCTTTTCCTTTCTTATTTTTCTTTCTTTTCTTTCATTTTTACTCTTTTTCCTTTCGTTTTTTCTTTCTTTGAGATTCTCTTTTTTTCATTGACCAACTTTCTTCCTTTCTCTCTCTCTTTCTTTCTTTCTTTCTTAGCTTATTTCCAGTTTCTTTTTCAATTTTGTTTATTGGATTCATTCATTCTTACTTTCTTGCTTGCTTTCTTTTTTATTTTATTCTAGATATGTATATATCATTTATTTATTTATTTATTTATTTATTTTTCTTATCTATTAATATATCTATCATTTTCTTTCTTTCTTCTTTCTTTCCATTTCATTTTTTCTGTCTTTTTCTTTCTTTCTTTTTCATTCTTTCTTTCTTTTTATTCTTTCTTCCTCCCTTCCTTTGTTTATTGCTAGTTTCTTTTGTTTTTTATTTCCTTCATTCTTTCTTTCTTTCTTTCTTTCTTTCCTTTTTCTTTTTTCTAACGATTTATGTGTCTTTTTTTCTTTATTTCTTTCTTTTCAGATTTCCATTCTTTCTTTCTTTCTTTTTTTCTTTCTTTCTTTCTTTTTTTTTTCTTTCCAGTCTCTCTGGGTGCTTTCTTTCGGGTTTCTTTTTATATATCTCTTTCTTTTTTTTTTCTTTATATCTATCTACCTTTCTTTCTTTAACTTCCTTTTTTTTCTTTTTCTTTTCTATTTTCTATTTTGTCCTTTATGTGCATCTCCTCTTCTTTCATTTTTGTTTTTCTTTCTTTTTCCTACTTTCTTTCCTAATATGTTTATTTCCAGCCACTCCACTTCCATTTTTTTAACTGTAAAATCCTTTCTTCTTTCTTTCTTTCTTTCTTTCTTTCTTTCTTTCTTTCTTTCTTTCTTTCTTTCTTTCTTTCTATTAAGGCCAACTTATTGCCATCTTTCCCCCCCCCAGCTTAAAACTTTCAATGCATAATTCTCAATGTATGGAGAACCGTTGGGTTAAGTGCATTGTCAAGAAAATATATTATGTCGGGAAGCAATTTTTGCGAAAAATGGTTTTTCTTTGATCATTCAGTTGTAAACATACAGAAATAGATAGATAGATAGATAGATAGATAGATAGATAGATAGATAGATATAGATAGATCTACAAAAAACATATATTTATATATATATAAATATATATACATATACAAAGAGAGTGAGACAGAGATAGATACATGATAAATAGATAGGTAGATTGATCTGAAAAGATATATACATGAATATAAATATATATATATATATATATATATATATATATATATATATATATAGAGAGAGAGAGAGAGAGAGAGAGGAGATATGAACAGACATGTATATATATATATATATATATATATATATATAGAGAAAGAGAAGAGAGATAGACAGACTGCAGAATCTGAACAGACTGCGATAGACAGAGACGACTACAGATAGATCTTAAAAGGCATATACACAAATATAGATAGATAGATAGATAGATCTGACACACACACACATATATATATATATATATATATATATATATATATATAGAGAGAGAGAGAGAGAGAGAGAGGTAGACAGACATAACTGAACAGATTGAGATACATTGGAACAGACTGCGATAGATAGATAGATAGATAGATAGATAGATAGATAGATAGATAGATAGATCTGAAGAGAGTGAAATAGATGAAAGTCGTTTTGATATGTCTCCTTACAGTGCCCTGTTTCATATTACCCCAGTGACTACGCGTTCTGACATAAAAGTCAATTCTTTCTAACTTCAAACCACAAGAGCCTTTTTTTTTTTGCCTTTTCGATTTGATCTGCGTACTTTCACTTTCACTTTTGTTTTTACCAACCAATGCGAAAAAAGAAATGGATTTGAATTCTTCTAAATGTACCAGAATTTACAGCCAGGGAGGGGCGCGGGCAAATGGCGGATTAAGTAAACGGAATCCGATTATCATCACCCCACATCGTCCCAATCAGATTCACTTTCTCACAGAAAATAGTTTTCAATTACATTTTCTTCTTAAGAACCAATGACATAAGCATCTATCTATCTATCTATCTATCTATCTATCTATCTATCTATCTATCTAAGCCTGTTCATACTTCTCTCTCTATATATATATATATCATTTCATATTTGTCTAAGTATATAGATATATAAATATATATATATATATATATATGTGTGTGTGTGTGTGTGTGTGTGTGTGTAAAATACTGTACAGTGAATGACAGTGGTAAACAGTGTTCGTGCGAAACTAGACGTAAATAAAGAGGCTGACTGAAAATTAATTTCCTATTTTCTCTTCTATGGACACTCCCGCGTCTCCATTGATCTCTGGGCGAAAGTGGGATAAGCCGATTGTCTTATCATCTTACATAATATCTCGGGAGGGTATAACTTTAATCTTAGCTTTCTGCAACCATTGCATTTTTTTTTTACATTCGAGTGTTGTGGCAGAAGAAATCATAGCTGCTTCACCACGACAATGCACCTGATCTCAACGCCCTGAGCATCCGGCAATTCATAGCCGAAAAGAACATCGCCGTACTGGAACAACAACCCTATTTACCTGATCCTGTGCCGTATAACTTTTTTTTCTTTTTCCCCAAACTCAATGGGATCACCAATGGGACCAATTTTGAAGGCGTGGAGACCATCAAGATGTCTGTAAAGACGGAGCTGAGGGTCATACAAGAAGAATTCTTCCAGAAGTGCAAAGAAGCGATGTCGAGAAGAATGGAACTGTGCATTAGACTCTAGCGTGGTTTACTTTGAAGGGGAAACTATGTAGTTTGCTGTTTGGAATGGAAATTAATTGTTTGGGACAGCAGCCCTGTTACTTTTCAGACAGAACTCGTGTATCTCCTTATTTGGTCATTCAGGTTGCTTTCTGTTCCATTAATAAGTTACTCCAAAATTGTCCATATGTTGTTAAATTAACCAAAATAACATCGTCATCTCCTTGTCAATGCACGTAATTCAGTAATTATCATTACTTAATTCAATATATTCATCAGTATTCATCATCTATTATCTGGTCTCACATGAAATGACGCAGTTTATAGGAAAGGAATAAAACCCTTCTGAAATATTAAATAACTAATTTATTTCATTGAAATAGGTACCATGCTGATGATTGACTGTTCTTCAAGGTAACTCTAAATTCTTGATCCCATCTTTAAAATATTCTCATTCTTTGATATGGTAAAAAGTTCAAATGTTTCGATATGGTAAAAAGGATTACCTCTTCCCTATTGGAGAATGTTTTATTGCGAACGAAAAGCTCAAAATGCTTAAATAAGAGAAAATCAGTAGGAGAGCTATCAGGTGAGTATGGGGGATGTGGCAAAATTTCATAATTCAGGCTATGCAGCTTTTGGACAGTTGATTCAAAAGCGTGCAATCGTGCGTTGTCGTGCAGCAAAATTGGGCTATCCCTATTCACAAGTCTAGGATGTTTCTTTTTTCAATTTTTGGGCATACAATCAATTTCTCAACAATACAAGGTTTTTGTTATTGTTTTCCATTGAGGCAAGAATGAATAATGAATAACCCCTTTGAAAGACCACCATTGAGTAACCATTAACTTTTAGGGTGCAGTGGAGGTTTTAGGTATTGTTTTGGTGATTCACTTGCATTTAACCACTGGCCTACTCTCTTATGACAGTCAAAGAGTATCCATTTCTCGTTGCAAGTAATAAACCGATGCCAAAATGGGTCTTTTCCCCAATTTGCACTCATATAGTAAGATTACTCGATATTTTTTCATTGTAATCATTTTTATTGGACTTATCAGTAACAATATCTAGAAAGAAAAATGATACGGAAAGTAAAAGAGTTAAGAATAAGTCAGTAAAATGTTCCTATTTTGATACGAGTGAGTAACTATGCGTCAGTTCTTAAGCCCATTCATCTTCACTCCTAGGGGGAGTGGGTTTCTTGGCGGGGTTGGGAGTTGGGGTTAAAAGCGTTTACCAAAATCAGTTCTTTAATAACAATGTCGACTTCTGTCTATTCAAACGAATTTATTTTTCTTCATGTCTTGTCTTTTCTTCTTTTTTTCTATTTTTAAATTGGCTTTGCTATTCGAAATTCTCCGATTTTAATAATGACTCTTAAAAAATGTTTTCAAAAATTATTAATGACGATATTTCGTTCGTTCTAAACATTTATATCGATTTACTGCGATCAGGGAAAAAATGGGAATCAGATGTTTAGTTTCGGTGCTTTTACTGTAAACGCTGCCATCTTGGTCACGTGGCACGATGTTTCGAGATATAGACGCAGTCATCATCCCGTTTATATTCCTATTTTGTCCTTTCTTTCTCTGTTTTTTCCCTCCTTTAATTATTCATCTAGATGGTCTTTCAGCTTTCTACAACAGCTGACATATTTCCCTCTTTCTTTCTAGTTTTGTTATTCATTCATTCGCCTTTATTTCTTCTTCGTTTTTTCCATTATTCTTTCTTTCCAGGTTCCTTCTTCATTTATTCATATTTCTTTTTGTTCTTCTCTCTTTCAATCTTATTTTATTCTTTCTTTTCAGTATTCTTTTTCATTCCTTCATTCATTCATTACCCTTTCTTCGTTCTTTCTTTCGTCTTTTATTCTTTCTTTCCAGTGTCCTTCTTCATTCATTCATTCATTCATATTTCTTTTTGTTCTTCTCTCTTTCAATCTTATTTTATTCTTTCTTTTCAGTATTCTTTTTCATTCCTTCATTCATTCATTACCCTTTCTTCATTCTTTCTTTCAATCTTTTATTTTTTTTCCAGTTCCTTTTTCATTCATTCATTCATTCATTCATTTATTTTTGTTCTTCTCTTCCATTGTTTCCTTTTTCATTCATTCATTCATTCTTTCTTTCCAGTGTCCTTCTTTCATTCATTCATTCATTCATATTTCTTTTTGTTCTTCTCTCTTTCAATCTTATTTTATTCTTTCTTTTCAGTATTCTTTTTCATTCCTTCATTCATTCATTACCCTTTCTTCCTTCTTTCTTTCGTCTTTTTATTCTTTTTTTCCAGTGTCCTTCTTCATTCATTCATTCATTCATTCATTCATTTTTTTTTGTTCTTCTCTTTCAATCTTATTTTATTCTTTTCTTTTCAGTATTCTTTTTTTCCTTTTCATTTCTTTTTTCTTCCTTCTTTCTTTCGTCTTTTATTCTTTTTTCCAGTGTCCTTCATTCATTCATTCATTCATTCATATTTCTTTTGTTCTTCTCTCTTTTCTTATTTTATTTTTTCTTTTCTTTTTTTTTCATTCTTCATTCATTTCCAGTTCTTCCTTCTTCATTTTTATTCTTCATTCATTCATTCATTCATTCATTTCTTTTTGTTCTTCTCTCTTTCAATCTTATTTTTATTCTTTTCTTTTCAGTATTCTTTTTCATTCCTTCATTCATTCATTACCCTTTCTTCCTTCTTTCTTTCGTCTTTTATTCTTTCTTTCCAGTGTCCTTCTTCATTCATTCATTCATTCATTCATATTTCTTTTTGTTCTTCTCTCTTTCAATCTTATTTTATTCTTTCTTTTCAGTATTTTTTTTCATTCCTTCATTCATTCATTACCCTTTCTTCGTTCTTTCTTTCGTCTTTTATTCTTTCTTTCCAGTGTCCTTCTTCATTCATTCATTCATTCATATATTTCTTTTTTGTTCTTCTCTTTTCAATCTTATTTTATTCTTTTCTTTTCAGTATTCTTTTTCATTCCTTCATTCATTCATTACCCTTTCTTCGTTCTTTCTTTCGTCTTTTATTCTTTCTTTCCAGTGTCCTTCTTCATTCATTCATTCATTCATTCATATTTCTTTTTGTTCTTCTCTCTTTCAATCTTATTTTATTCTTTCTTTTCAGTATTCTTTTTCATTCCTTCATTCATTCATTACCCTTTCTTCGTTCTTTCTTTCGTCTTTTATTCTTTCTTTCCAGTGTCCTTCTTCATTCATTCATTCATTCATTCATTTTTTTTTTTTTTTGTTCTTCTCTCTTTTCAATCTTATTTTTTTTATTCTTTTCTTTTCAGTATTCTTTTTCATTCCTTCATTCATTCATTACCCTTTCTTCGTTCTTTCTTTCGTCTTTTATTCTTTCTTTCCAGTGTCCTTCTTCATTCATTCATTCATTCATTCATTTATATTTCTTTTTGTTCTTCTCTTTTCAATCTTATTTTATTCTTCTTTCTTTTTCAGTATTCTTTTTTCATTCCTTCATTCATTCATTACCCTTTCTTCGTTCTTTTCTTTCTGTCTTTTATTCTTTCTTTCCAGTGTCCTTTTTTCATTCATTCATTCATTCATTCATATTTCTTTTTCATCTTTCTTTTTCAATCTTTATTTTTATTCTTTCTTTTTCAGTATTCTTTTTCATTCCTTTTCATTCATTACCCTTTCTTTTTCTTCTTTCTGTCTTTTTTTATTCTTTCTTTTTCAGTGTCCTTCTTCATTCATTCATTCATTCATATTTCTTTTTGTTCTTCTCTCTTTCAATTTTATTTTATTCTTTCTTTTCAGTATTCTTTTTCATTCCTTCATTCATTCATTACCCTTTCTTCGTTCTTTCTTTCGTCTTTTATTCTTTCTTTCCAGTTTTCTTATTCATTCATTCATTTTTCTTATTCGTTCTTTCTTTTCAGTTTTCTTCTTCTTTCATTCATTCATTCTTATTCTTATTCATTCTTTCTTTTTTCCATCATTCTTTCTTTCCAGTTTTTCTTCTTTCATTCATTCATTGGCCTGCTTTTCTTCTTCCTTCGTTCTTTCTTCTTTACTCTTCCTGTCCAGTTTTCTTTCATTCATTAATTCATTCGTCTTCTTTTATTCTTTATTTACAGGTTTCTTCTTCTTTCATTCATTTATTCTTCTTCTTTTTCGTTCTTTTTTTTGTCTCTCCTGTTTCATTCTTCATTCCTTTATTCATTTTTCTTCTTCTTCTTCTTCTTCATTTTTTTCTTTTTACTTTTATTGTTATTTTCCAGGTTACGTCTTGTTTAATTAATTCATTTATTCTTTCATTCCTCTTCTTTTTCGTTCTTTTTTCGTCTCTCCTGTTTTATTCTTCATTCATTCATTCATTCATTTTTCTTCTTCTTCTTCGTTTTTTCTTTTTACTTTTATTGTTACTTTCATTAATTCATTCGTCTTCTTTTATTCTTTATTTACAGGTTTCTTCTTCTTTCATTCATTTATTCTTCTTCTTTTTCGTTCTTTTTTTTGTCTCTCCTGTTTCATTCTTCATTCCTTTATTCATTTTTCTTCTTCTTCTTCTTCTTCGTTTTTTCTTTTTACTTTTATTGTTATTTTCCAGGTTACGTCTTGTTTAATTAATTCATTTATTCTTTCATTCCTCTTCTTTTTCGTTCTTTTTTCGTCTCTCCTGTTTTATTCTTCATTCATTCATTCATTCATTTTTCTTCTTCTTCTTCGTTTTTTCTTTTTACTTTTATTGTTACTTTCTAGGTTACGTTAATTCATTAATTCTTTCATTCTTCTTCTTCTTCTTCTTCTTCTTCTTCTTCTTCTTTCTATTACTCCACCTCCTTCTCCTTTTTCTAATTCTCATCCTTCTTCTTCTTCTTCTTCTTCTTCTTCTTCTTTCTATTACTCTACCTCCTTCTTCTTTTTCTAATTCTCATCCTTCTTCTTCTTCTTCTTTTTCTTCTTCTTCTTCTTCTTCTTCTTCTTCGTTTTTTCTCTCTTCTTTTATTTTTCCCTTCCAGGTTACGTCTCCATTCATTCATTCATCCCTTCTTCCCTTTTTTTTTCTTTCTTTCTACTTTTCTTCGTCATTCATTCATTATTTCGTTTCATTATTTTCTCCTTTTCTTTATTTTCAGTTTCCTTTTTATTTCATTCATCCATTCTTCTGGTTCTTCTTTCTTCTTTTATTCATTCTTTCCAGTTTTCTTTCATTTATTCATTCATTTTCTTCTTCTTTTTTCTTTCTTGCCTCTTTTTCTTTCTTTCCAGTTTTTTCTTCTTCTTTCATTTATTTATTCATTGTGCGGCTTGTTCTTTACCCTTTCTTTCTTCTTTTATTCTTTCTTTTCAGTATTCTTATTCATTCATTAATTCATTCTTCTTCTTGTTCTTCCTATTCTTTCTTTCTTTCGTATTTTATTCTTCTTCCCATTTATTTACTCTTAATTCATTCATTTTTCATTCATTAATATTATTCGCTCATTCTTTCGCCTTTATTCTTTCTTTCTAGTTTTCTTCTTTCATTCATTCATTCATTCATTCTTTCTTCTTCTTCTTCTTCCTCTTTTTCTTCTTTATTTATTATTCGTTCTTTCTTTCCTCTTTTTCTTTCTTTCAGTTTCTTTCTTCTTTCTTTCTTTCTTCTCCTTGTTCTATGTTTCGTACAAGATTCTTTTTTTTCCAGTTTTTTACTTCTTTCATTTATTTCTTCATTCATTCATTCCTTTTCTTCTTCTTCTTCTTCTTCTTCTTCTTCTTCTTCTTCTTCTTCTTCTTCTCATATATATATATATATCTTCTTATGTCGCGATTTGGAATCATATTTTTAAATAAATAATTATATTTATGCTCTACTTTTGTATCGAGCACTATTTTTAAAAAATAATAACTAAAATACTAAGGACTTTTGATTATTTACCTAACCAGTTCCTTCCTTTTTCTATTTTTTCACATATATATATTTTATATATTATATATATATATATATATATATATATATATGTCCGCTATCCATTACCCTGCCATGCTTGGATTGAGGAATCGGAGAAAGCTGAGTTCGAATTCCAGTCGAATGCATTACATTCACTTACGTGCTAATACCCTTGGGAAAGTTATGCATCCTCTTCCTCCCCTCCAGCTATGGGTAAAAAATAACAGGACAGACTGATTCTATAGCCTTGATGGCAACTGGTCTAGGAGAAGGACAACTTGAATTCAAAACCTGCGGAGGGTCGTTTGGGGGACCCTGTGACACGTAGTGCACCAGGTCTCTGTATTCTCCCCTTCAAAAAGTGCGGATGGTCCTGCACGAAACTTTCACCACTATAATCAAATCTCTTGTGCTGTTTTCGGACTGTCGGTTTCCTTGGAACTTATCTGCTTGACCCTGAAACGGAAGAGTCGATTGTATATATACATACATACATACATACATACTTAAATAGGTTTGAAACGGTACAAAAGCGTATTAAGGCATTAAAACTAGAAATTTTGTATTGTAGGCCATGATAAGTTTAAAAATAAAACACACCAGTCGACTGGTTTCGTCCCTCTCGTCAGAACTGTTAACGGGGGAAAGATTATGAGGAAAAGAAATAAGTCTGTCATGGATGACATGAATGAATGGACAGGAAGGAAGGAAAAAAAATTATACCAACTAAGTTGCTAGAAGACAGAATAAAGTCCAAGCAAACAATCTCTTTGTTTGCAAAGAGCAGGCTGCCTGGACCTGATGTAAAGCGACTCCAACACCGTTAACAGTTCTGACGAGAGGGGACGAAACCGGTCGACTGGTGTGTTTTATTTTAAACTTATCATGGCCTACAATACAAAATTTCTAGTTTTTAATGCCTTAATACATACATACATACATATACATATATATATATATATATATATATATATATATATATATATAGTTTATGCAAATTTAGGTAATCCGTATGGGTAGACCTGAGGAGGATGATATCCAGAGAGCTCAATGTAAAATTCAGAGCAGATATGTTTGAATAAAAGACAGACACGTGAAGATTCCATGTAAAGTATTTCACCATAACCCTTTAACAGGGTTCTGATCATCAGATTTTACTTTCAAAAGCTGAAATGAAAATGAAAAGAAATTCACACGTTTTTTTACGGACCTCATCAAGTATACGTAAAGTTAACGAAGTGAGGAAGTGAGGTGGGGAGAGAGGATATGAGTGTCATATGTATCATTTTAGTTTCCTATTTTAACCCCAGTGTGTCGGCTGGATGTTGCTCAAATTTAACGCGTCTCGTCTCTAGATATAAGTGGCTAAAGGGTGAATGATAAGAACGACATTAAAGGAAGAAGTTACAACAACCCCCAATAAATTACACGACAGGTTTCATTCAAATTTTAGATATGTTAATTCGCGTTACTTTTAACGTGCATATTTGGGAGGTTAAGGTTTGATGAATATCTAAATTTTAAAAACAATCTACGAAGAAATTCTTTGAAATTCGTGAGCTCTGTTATGAGGTCCGTAAAAAACGTAATAATTTCCTTTTCTTTCTTCATTTCAGCTTTTGGAAGTAAGTTCGATGATCCAGAACCCTGTTAAAAGGGTTATGGTGAAATAGCTTATTACATGGAATCTTAACGTAAACACTTTATTCAAATATATATATATATATATTATATATATATATATATATATATATATATATATATAATACATAAAGTTTGTAGATGACCATTTTGCGCTTTCATTTTGGTATAAGCCCAGATGTTTAAGGTAGGACATTATGTTTACGGTTTCTGAATTTTCAAATAATTTTCTCATGTTGGTCCTCTTGTATTATTTATGTCTTACAATGAAAACAACGAGTTCAAATATGTTTCAACCCGAGTGCGGTTTGGTATGTTTTACATGTTGATTGACCTTCAGCAAGTATGACTGGATGAGGCATGTGTGGTCTATGTTTCGTGGAATAAGAGTGACTTCGCCTTTTCTTCCTTTTCTAGACATTTCCTTCCATTCGCCTAGGAATGGTTTGATCGTGAGAAGTTTTCATATTTGTGTCGTTGAATGAAATTATTTTATTTTATAATTCCGTCTAAAGGATTTTGATAAGAGTTGCTTAAAACTGGTTTGTCCCTTCGCTGATGATTAATTCTAATGATCAATGTTGAACATCAAGATATTATTTTCTTTTCGAGTTTGATGTGTTATCAATTGATCTACAAACACCCAGAAAACATTTTTCTAAGGTAGGGAAAATGGTGAGACCTTATTTTCATGTTTATTCTTTGTCCGTAAAAAATAAAACGAACTTTAAACGTGGGAGCGTCTTTGACGCCAGAAAATAAGGTATTTTTTTTAAGGTAACGTACTATGTTAACAGTTTTATTATTTTGAAATAGTTTTCTCGTCTTGCCCTCCTTGTTGTATTTATGTCTAACAGGTTCTAAGTGGGGACATTCAGTTAAAATGCCTTTCAACCCGAGCTGGGCTTGATATGTTTTACATATTGATTGATCTTTATTCTTCTGCTCTTATGGATTTCGGTCTTGCATATATTTAGTGGAACCAGCGTTACATTGTCGTCTTTTCGAATCTGTCTTTCCATATTTCTGTTGAGATAAGGTATTATGTACACTATTTTCCATTATTTGACTATTGTCCTAATCTTTGTCGCCATATGTATTAAAAAACCTTGGCCTTTCAGTATATGTTTATATTTCTGAGATGAGGTATTATGTAATATTTATATTTTAAAACTATTGTTTAGTTCTTTGTTGCCATATTTATTACAACGTTTCGGCCTTCAGTATCTTCCCATATTTGAGATGAGGTATTATGACACTATTTATATTATTCGACTATTGTCCTGCATCTTTTGTCCATGATTTATTACAACGTTTCGGCCTTTCAGTATATGTCTATATTTCTGAGATGAGGTATTATGTACGCTATTTACATTATTCCCACTATTGTCGCTATCTTTGTCGCCATATGTATTACAACGTTTCGGCCTTTCAGATAGGTCTATATTTGAGATGAGTGGAATGTGCTATTTATATTATTCGACTATTGTCCTCATCTTTGTTGCCATATTTATTACAACGTTTCGGCCTCCTTCAGTATCTGTCTATATTTCTGAGATGAGGTATTATGGTTTCTCGATTTAACATATTATTTGACTATTGTCCCATAAAGTGCCATATTTATTACAATGTTTCGGAATTTCAGTATCTGTCAAATATTTCTGAGATGAGGTATTATGTACACTTATTTTACATTATTCGACCCATTGTCGCTATCTTTGTCGCCATATGTATTACAACGTTTCGGCTTCAGTCCTTAATATTTCTGAGATGAGGTATTATGTACACCTTTATATTATTCGACTATTGTCCCCATCTTTGTTGCCAATTTATTATCATTGAACCATATTTAAAAATCTGTTCAAAATTCTGAGATGAGGTATTATGAACACGATAAACATTATTAAAACATTGTCCCTTGAAGAATTGCCATATTATAGGCAAATGTTTTGGCATTCAGCATTAACACTATATTTGAGATGACATAAATATCATAATTATTTACATTGATATAACAATATCCTAATTTTTGTAATTTTATTTATTCAACAACGTTCAGGCCTTTAGAAATTTTCTAAATATGTGAGATGATATATATATATATATATATATATTCAGACTATTGTCCCCATCTTTTTTTTTAATATTTTTTACAACGATGCTTTTGGATAATTTCTAAATTATTCAAAATTCTGAGATGACATCTAATTTTAACAATTATTTACATTATTACGACTAATGTTGTCATCTTTAGGCAGCAAATTTACATAATGTTCGCACGTTGTACGCAACCACCTTCTTCAGATAACGTTGGAATCTTGAATGAACCCTTGGATGGTTTCTGTGGTTAGATTGTTCTAGTTCCATGTGCATGTTCATCTTAGATGTGGTTTTGTTGGTCTCCTGTTAATTCTCCTCTCCAAGTACTCCACTGCATGCACCAGGTATTAACCAGGCTCTTTAAGTCCTGTCACTGATCTATCTGTCTGTGAGCCCATGTGCCATGTGTCCTTGAGGACACATGGCACAGTAGATAAAGTTATCATAGACAAAGAATGTCATTTATAGACAAAGAACATAATGGATGTCAGTTATCATAAACAAAGAGCATCATTGGAAAATTCATAAACTTAAGGAATCAGCACTTATGCTGGGCCACAAAAATCTCCTGAGTCGACCAAGTATAAAAATGAATACAATAAGGGAACCAGTAATAAGAAGTGCCAGAGATAAGCAATAATAACAAATAAAAATTGCAGTATGAGCTCTGTTAAAAACATGGAATGATAACAGCAAAAATTGCAATATGAGTACTGGTAAAAAATGTTGCTGAAGACATTGATTTATAAGTCCCAAAAATTCATACACAGATGTCCTTAAGGACACATGGCACAATAGATAAAGGCGTTAGTTAGATCCAGTGACAGGACCCAAAGAGTGTGAGTCGAAAACTTTCAGAGGGAAAATTAACAGGAGATAACTGATAACTGACATCCATTAAACATGGCACGTAGAACTAGAACAGTCTACCCCAGTGAGCGAAATAAAGGGTTCAGTTCAACATTCCAACCACCTGAAACGTTGTGATAAATATGGCAACAAAGATGAGGGCAATAGTCCGAATGATGTAAATCGTGTACATAGTACCTCATCTCTGGAATATAAACGGATATCAATTTACCTTCATGTCGAGGGAATTTTCGTATTTAGAATTGTCTTAGCAATCCATAAAAAATGACGCTTATTATTCAATAGTTT